AATAGTCGTATAATAGGAATATAAGAGGACCCTAATATAATCCCTATTAACCCCTATAGTCACTATTACTGGGTGGGGGGTCCACCTAAGGTTTAGGGTTTCGGATGATTTGCCTTTCCTCATTCCATAGATAGTGTTGCAAAAATGGATTTAGGGTTTAGGGCTTAGGGTTTCCGAGCCTGTATACGGACCCAAGAATACGTAAGGAGGGGGGTGGGTGGGCTGGCGGCCTGTAGGGAGTCTCAAATTGATCAATGCCCAGAATTCAGGAAAATTGGGGGTCCTTTTTTTGGGGTCCTCATATTCAAGGGAGCAAAGTGAGAACCTCAAAGCAGGGAACCGCAACAATATAGTCGGAATATGATGGGAAGATACCTACTAGGGTCCATATTCTCCCCTTGTTATCCTACTACTACATTCTTGGGGGTTCCCTGTTTTGGGGTTCCCGTTATCCCTTTAAATATTCTAGGGTGTAGCAAGGGGCCCGCATTCTTGGAAACTCCCATGTATTGTTTTCAATGATTCGGTGTGGTCGGCAATTTTCTACAAGACACGAAACCTATCTCTGGCATTCGGAGGGTTTAGGGTTTAGGGGTTTAGGGTCTTTGCTTCGTTCTGAGACTCCAGTTGTGGTCCTGCTGCGCATCGAAACAACTACAGTGTAATGCTGCCAAGCAAGTCTGCATGAAACTTGTGGAAGCTGTATGGGGGGTTGTTCTAAGGGTCCTTTGGGGATTTCGGGGTAATGGAAAAGAAGATGGAAAGTACTATTCAAGTTTCGGGCTTAGGAGCCTTCAAAATTCATCCAAAGGCTGCCTTCAACAAAATCAAACTTCCAAATCTTCAACTTAATATTCTTGGATTCAGAATCCTGGAAATCACCTGGGTATTCCTCGCCCTGGCCCCTCCTGTACGCGACCGCGCAACAATCAACCAACAATAAATCCCTCGACATTATTCGGGCCCCACTTACTTCTTGGATGCGGACAGTATGCGGATGCAAGGATCCAGTTCCGATTGCAATTTCGGATGCCAGGAATATTTGCAGGCAAATCTTTAACAAGGAAGAGTCATCGATTCCATATAGTCCAAACTCCAAGTATCCCTTAATAACCCCCATAATACTCCCCTATATAATCCCCCTGTAAGGACTTTGGATGCCTTTGGACTATAGCTCATATTGTTGGGCGCTCTGGCCGCTGCTAGGCTCTTCATGGGTATCCAAACAGCCTGGGTTCCAGAAGAGCCTCTTGGCCAAGAAGAACCCGTGGCTTTGAGTTTGCAGATAAACCGTCACCCGTCCCCTGCCCAGAGTCTTGGAAATGTCACCAGTGCGAGTTGGGTCAGAATTTGACAGCATTCGAGATAGGGTCGGGGAGGCACGGCCAAAGACACTGAGAATCTCGGGTGGGGGCCATCAAAATTGCTGGAAATGATTGTAACAAACCCTAAACCCTAAACCCTAAACCATGCGGAGCCAAGGCTCTATCTCAGTGCTGCTGGCAATCCGTACCCAAGATTGATGCGAAGACACAGAAAGCTCCCGCAGCGCTCTCTCCATACCTTTTCGGGGATACTACGCTCCCGTCTCAAAGTAGACCCCCCCAAAAAAACGAGTTTGCATTCTAGTCCAACCTTGTTGTGGGGCTGAGGAGGGCTCTGGCTCCCTTCTCTACTACAGATCTGCTGCAGTCTGGGTGTTTGTCCACATATCCTGCCAGGTCTTCGGGAAGGGATCGTACTTTTCCCACACCACCGCCTACGGTCAGCCCGAGAGCCAAATCTTTCTTAGCTCCATCTCAATCCTAACCCTGAAGCCGTCAGTCCTATCCGTCTGCTCTTCCCGTTCTTATAGAGCTAGTAGGGCCCCCCTTACTACAAAGCCCCCCAAAACCCAAACTACACAGGTACCCCAAGAGGGTGTCTCCGTAGGTCATAGAAACCTCTTCAAGAAACTTTCTTGACATCCCAAGAAAAGGAAGCGGCCACTGGCGAGCACGAATGCCAGGACTCAAACACTTTTCCTGCAAACAGATGTGAAACCTGGCATAAGGGCCCCTTACATCCCTTGAACATCCGAACCCTGATTGCTGAGGGCAATGCAGAGCTCTAAGACCCGTACACCCTTCATGTCCGCATGTCCCTACAGTATGTAATCCCTGCAAAGCCGAAGATAACACCAAGTTTGGGGAAGGATGCGGCACCATCCGCGATCGGCCCATGTAAACGGCGTGAATACTTTGCCGAGGGCAGCGTTCTCAACCACAGGACAAACAGTGAAGAAAAACTTACCTGAAGGCAGGGCTTCAAAGGCTTTCGGAGCTAAACTATCCAGAAAGTAACAACTGGTTGGGAGAACCTGTTCTATCCCATTCTCATAAGCCCTGTGTCACCCCTATTCTATTTGATAACAAGTTATTATCATGGTAACTGTAGAGGTTCTGGGTTATCTCTGGGCCAAGGGTGCGCTGAACAAAGTAGATGGCATATAGATTGCAGTCACCCATGCTACTATATAACAAACAAGGGGAGCTCTTAGTAGTAAGCCCCTAGACAACAATTCAAGCAACATCTTTTGCAAGACCCAGCTACATCTTGCAATGTAATCAGGGATGCTGTCAATAGCTCTTGAAAGTTGATTCTCCCTGCTCCGCACGCATCCGACGGAAGCTTCCATGGATTGTTGATCTTGTCGGAACTCCTGAGTGGAATGTGCAGGCTCTTGGAGGCTTCCGGGCATGCGTATAGAAGGGCTATACATGCTCTTCACACTTTTGCTCTTGTCCTGGCTATTGCTATCCTACTTAAAATCCCAACTATAGGTACCAATGAACCCCAGTACTGTTGAAACCGTAAACCCCTAAACCCTAAATAGTAGTTTCCATTTTACTTTCCATTATCCCAATATATCCCCCATATATATCCTATAACCCCCACATAACCCATTATAGTAGTTTCCATTTTCTTTTCCATTATCCCAAATATAATGTGGGTCCCTATTGGAGGGCGCTCACCTTGCCTGTCAAAACTGAGAATTTACCAGACTGACCCAGACTCTAGTTGCGGGCATGAGAAATAATCGTACCTGTTTTCCCAGGCTCACACGTGCGTCAGGACTTAGGGCCTTAGGGCTTAGGGGCCCTACACCAGAAATCAAATCTCCTCTGCTTGCAGGCTTCAGGTACCATATGAACAGGGGCGCCTTGCGGATTTCTGAAACATGCAGACGTGGCGTTCTAGGAAGAAACGTCTCCGTGTATACGTCCAGGGGTATATACTCCTTGGTTGGAATCTATATGGACTCAGGTCAGGAAGGGTATGAAAAATGATGAGCACCATGAAAGCAACGCAATGCACACTCACCAAGCTCACGAAGGCCCTGCAGCAACAGGACGGCACTCATTTCATGAATTCTAACGCTAGGCTCCAATTTCTCCAACATGCGGGTCAACGCGTCCTGCAAAACCCGCAGCTGCTTGCTTTCCGGATCCGGATGCATGTTGCCAACCCACTGATGAGACACAAAAATGGCGTCGCCCATGCCTCAGTCGAATCATTCGAAGCTCAACAACTCTAGCCGAAACCCCACTGACCTACGAACAAGGGGGGTGGTGTTGTTTTTCTGGGATGGTACATACGGAACCGGATTGGCTTCATGTTAATAAGCCTCCCTGACCTGATGAAACTCCTACAAAAGGGTTGCTCCGCCAAAAACGTTGGATGGGAACTCCCGAAACGAAGATGCCTAGTTCTGAGAGAACCCAAAAGAATGCCAGTCATGCGATGAGGCTGTCTTCGAACTCGAGCAGCAAGCCTCTCATCTTCAGCGCCTCATGTGTCTCCACCTAGCAAGATTCGGGTGGTTTGACGGCTTCAGCGTCTTACTCAGGCTTCTGTGTCTAAGAACGAAAATTACAAGAAGCATGCTTAGAGCAGGGAACCAGTTCGAGATGGCTTGCCGGCATATAAAATACCTTAATGGTCTAAGTCTTCATTACATGGGAAACACAGACATGAAACAACGTTGTCTACTGTAAGGTCTCCAGTCCCGCCCCTCACGCCTCCGCCATTTCTAGCAAGACTTCAGCTTCCACAACGTACATGGGGAATAGCAAAGTCGCCGCTTCTCTTTGCCCTGCCAGGGCAGACTTGGGTTTCTGGGATATGGGGTGCTCTCGAGCTCCGAAATTCGGGATGAATAATTAGGGTTCGGATGGTGTATAGCCTATAGCCCTACCCACAAAGCTCAAGAGGCAAAACATGGGCTTCCGGACAGATCCAGAAGCCAAGACGCTGCCCCTTGTGGGGGCATTTGCTAACTGAGTGCACGCAAAGTGGCACTTCGAGCAGGATGAACAAGCGCACGCCTCTATAGGCATAGTGTGAAGCTTGGGATGCTCCTCGACTCTGGAAATGGGATGCCCCGAGTAGGGTCCCTTCCAGCATTCATGGCCTTTACAGGGGACCCCCATTTTTGTAACCGCTGCACCTGACATGGCAGATGACATGCTTGAAGGACGCACTTCCGAGACACAAATCCGGCCGTGAACCCTTCTTGTGACTACTATAGCAGCAGTGTTCAGTCAGCACATACAGTGCAGCCCCTGAGTCATCAAGTGGGAAATGGAATTAATATGTCTGCTTGTAAATCTTTCATCTGCAACAACACCCTTGAACCTCACGCTTTGACCCAAGGGAGATTTACTAGGTCAAACCTAGTATTGCCTTGACCTTGGTTTTCGTCTTCAGTGCCCCTGCTCCAAGCATTTGAGAATCTATAGTCCCCCTTAAGTAGATAGAATATGGGGTATATGGGATCTTATCAAAATACACCCAAAGCCATATTCTATCTACTTAAGGGGGACTTTCAGCCCTAAACCCTAAACCCTAAATGGTAGTTTCCACTTTCTTTTCCATTATCCTTATATAACCGCAATATAACCCTAATATTCTATCTACTTAAGGGGGGACTATACTCCACGCCCTGCGAAGAGGAAGCCTTCGTCACGTCGGTCATGCAAGGATTTCCTCAGGCGTTCTGCATGGAATGATTTTGGCCAGTTTCTGAAAAAGCGGGGGTTCTAGGGACCCCAAAGGGTATAGAGGGATTATAAGGGGATTATATAGGGCCCCCTTAAGGGACTATGTAGGGGTTATATTGAGGAATACCCATTTTGGCCAGTTTCTAAACATCGTTGTGAGCTGCGGCTAGCCGTGCTACACTAGGGTTGCTTTGCAGGCCCTATAAGAATTACATGTCCATGCTTTATAGGGAATCTACGGAGATTTGGGTAATGAAAACTAAAACATATGTAAAATCAACCCCTGTTTATTACTACTATTCTTACTACTCTTCTTATTATTGTGCTTGGGCCTCTGGCCTTCTGGAACCCTCAGGCATTTTACAGGATTCTACAGGATGGGTTCTACAAAGGTTCTATAGGCCTCTATAGGGGTTCTATGGGTTCCTGTCTTAAGCTGAGTCTGATGCAAGCCCGTATGCTTGGCCTTCCGGATCATTGTACAATCATGTTTGGTTGAAGCGTGGTCTTGGGCATCAAAAACCTTGCAAAATCATTCTCATGCGGCAAGTCCAAATGCCTCCATACCCCCCCTATCCATCCTGGAACTCTCCCTTCGTAATTGAACTGTGAAACCGGACTCGCGAAAACGTCTCAATTCAGTAATTCAGTCCAAATCTCGCATACTTTGCCAGAGCAGAAGGAGTGGACCCGCAAAACATGCCCGCGGGAGGCGTAGGGTGTGGAGTGTAGCACAGGGCGTGTACAGAAGGGGGCTCTTGTCAGCAGAAGACATGAACGTTGAGTGGAGGGCAGCTGCGAGAGGTGGGTAGAAGGGTGAGTGTTCTGGGCTAAATTTAAGCTTTCAAAGTGAATGCAGCAATCATGCTTAGGGACCTAGGTTTGGGCCCAGCCTGACCCTTGGGGTTTTGCTACTGCTTTGCAGGAAACGGCCGCAGAGACAAAAGCAAACAAGCAAACAATTTCCAAGCAAAGTGACAACATCCACCAAGCTATTTGCACCATTTCCAACACTCATGCCCCAGAAAAGTGCATTCTGCGCTGCAGTTACTGCCCTTTTGATCGTCACATGATCCGTGCCTTGCTGTCTTTGGGCTCCAGGCATGTATTTCAAAAAAAGTCCTGAATGGTCAGCGCCCCGAGTCAAACATCAATCCCATGGAGGTCTTGTGCAGCCACACGAAGCCGCCACAATCGAACAACAACAATAACAACTGCTGCCGATGGTAGTTTCCCTAGATAAGGGGACCCCAATATGCACACTAAAACCCTTATTATGAGGACACCCAAAAAGGAGGATCCCTAATTTAGGGAAACCCATGATTGTCTATGTATATGAACGCACATACCACTGCAACGCGGAGTTTCGAAAGGCTCCAAACCAAGAACCGCGTCATGTGGCCAACGTAGCATCACAGCGTAACCCAACCTTGCTAGAGAAACTTCTAGGCTAAGGAATATTACCACCCCCAGGTATATATAAGGTTATATATATATGTACAGGGTTTTATAGGATTCCTGCAAAGAGGGTATATAGCGATATTATCCCCTGTAATGGAGAATTAAATGAAAAAGACAATTGACAATTAATTGGTGACTAGGATTATATTCAACAGCACATAAACAGTATGGGTGTGTATATCTGCAGAATCTTGCTGTGGCCTAGCAAGGAGTCAGGCAGTAGCAAGGGGCTCCCTCGCTGCTCTTGCGCTGGAGCACTTGGAAAAAGTCAATTTCCAATGTCTTGCAATCACCTACCAGCGACGTAAAGCAAATTCCGCACAAGCCTTCACTTCCGTGTTCAACAACGCAGCAGCTTGACGAATCAGGTGACAATGCAACCCCAGGATGCTGCGCAGTTCTTCCTAGCAATAAACCCCTCACCCCCACACATAGTTTCCATTATAATGCAATCACGGAATAGCGTTCGGGAGTTCAAAATGCGGGCAGGAATGAAAGCCAGGTTTGTATAAACGGGAGAACGCTTTATTTACCCGAGTAGATTGAAGTCCTGACGTTGTAGGGACTGCTAAGCACGGTTCGGAAACTCCAGTGTCCCAAGATTAGGGGTACCAATTTCGGGTCCCAATGATAAGAGGACTCTAGTATTTGGGGGTCTATACTGGGGTCCCTTTATTTAGTGAAACTACAATATACTAAACCCTAAACCCTAAATCCTTACACCCTAAACCCTAAGTCACATGCACAGGTCTGCCTCGGCACGAAGGTGCTCGATTGTGGCTTCCTGAATTGCTATGCTTGGCCATGTAACTCTCAGCGTAGGGGCAGTTCTGAGGTACACTAATAGGGGCTATATAGGGATATATGAGTGACGGTCAAAACTCCTTGCGTTGGGCAATGGACGCCAAATTGAGGGTGTCGCTTTTTGATGTTCCTGTCGCTGTACAAGGTTTTGCACTTAACCTGCGACCGTGTGAATTT